TAGGCCCCCCCCACTTTTTGTGAAATTCTCCGCCGTCCCTGCAGGAGTGTACTTCAATGCAGAAGAAGGCTGATCAACAAGAGAGATTGCATGAAAACAGGATAAAACTGCGAGATACCCTCTTCTGGTAAAATCATTCTTTTGCCGGATGAGTGCCCAAGTTCCATTTATCAGTAAAAGCAATCTGTATGCAAGAGCATCTAGCATCTCCGGTTGATTTAAATGATGATTATTCCGAATGATGGGTGGAGAGAAAAAATGCAAAAAAATATTTGCTACCAACAAAAACAATCTGTGTGCATCTAACGTTTTTGACTAATCCAAATTGAATGAAACAGCCCGATGTTGAAGCGATTTTAAGCAATTGTCTTCTGTTAGGAAGGACCAATTTTGCATTTGTTGGTGCATAAGTTTCCTTAGTAAACCAGAACATTTAGCATATCAGGTTGATTTKATGGATGCTATGAACCTAGTTTCTCACTAAGAAATCCATATAGTCATCTGGCATCTCTAGTATTCGTACGGGTTGATAAAATGCGATAAAGCCACCTGATACGGACAAATTAGTCTTCTGTCGGTTTTTTGTAATTAGAATAACACAAGTAATTTTAGTGGAAAAAATTCAACAAGTGCACTAGGCACCTACTATCTTTGGTACAGGTTCGCCCCATGTAAGGGAATCCGTACTTATGGTGGATTCCGGATTCCAAGCGCTGGATTCTGGATTCCGAGACTTTGGATTACGGATTCCAAGGGTCTGGATTCCGGATTCCAAAACTTTTGTATTGCGGATTCCGGATTCCATATCGTTAATTTTCAGATACTTTCTCTGAAAACTATATTTGACATACTTGCCAGTATAAGTAGAATCGTCTATCAATTAAATCAGCATCTGATGACAGATATTCTTGGTAGAGATTTTGCACAGTGGGGGAGGGGCTACATCGGTTCAGTCTAGGTCGAGGCGATAGCATTTGAGTGTATACTTTGAATTTCAAAGTAGCGGATTCCGGATTCCATTATAACTGGATTCCGGATTCCAAGGCCTGGATTCCGGATTCCAAAGCCTAAAATTTCGTGGATTCCGCATTCCGGATTCCCTTACATGGGGCGAACAGGTTGATAGATGTCGGATGGAAACAACTAAATGATCGTATTAAAATTGCTAAACATAATCTTCTGTTATTATTAACATTGCTTGTAAGAATGTTAATTCTTCAGTAAGCTTGCCATGGGTGATGATTCGACTATGAATCTCCAGCCCACCTATGACAAAACATTATTAAAAAAATCATCACGCATCACAACATCAAGTATGTTTGGTGCGATTAAACTACGGGCCAACTCAAAAAATCCAAAGATCACGGAAATAATAAGTAAAGGGAGGGAGCCATTAATTTCAAAATTTTTAGACTTGCAACATCTTCCAACACGGCGCAATTGATAAGAAATGTTGTCCAATCCTGGACTTAAATAGACCCTAATGTCTTCACCATGGAGATGGTCCGATGTATTTGTAATCATGTGAATGGATGGACATTGCTCGATAAAGTCAAAAAGCAAAATAATTTAGCCACCTACATATTCGGGAAATTTGACGAAAGTAAATGAGAAATCTCTAATTGCGGGATATATAAATTCCGATATCGTGGACGGTCGAGCTTACGTGACTAGAGAGCGAAAGTTTACTGGAAAAGACCTTACTAAATTCGGATGAATGACCAAAACACACAATGTTGCAGGTCGATAATTAATGTGATTTGATAAAATACAGTAAATGAATGAAAACCCCATCAAAAAAGTCCCACATCGACTTGTAAATAAAAATATTTTTACTACATTTTAGTTATATTATAAAAAAGTATTGAATATGGAAGTTGCAACAAAAAGATATTACTGGTAATCAAAGTAATAACAGACAACAACAGAGAATGCAATTTTACGATTAGAGAAGCTGTGTTTGCATGTGGTGTGGCAGTATCTAGACAGGAAATAACAATAGTGTCGGACTGCAGCTGTGCGGCTATCTCATCATGACCTTGTACACATGGTGTTAAGATCATTACAGTCACAAATTGACTTGAAGAGAATCCAAAACGACACCTTTGATGGCAGACATCTTGGTCCACCTGCTTTTGCTTACAAGGCATAACTGTCATAACTTTTAATTCCTTCGTGCAGGTTGATGGCGTCGTCATAGTAACCTTGAACTCTCTCGTGCAGGTTAATGGTATTGTCATAGTAACCAAAATAGATCATGTTTAATGAATCAGAGAATCAGAATTAGAGCTTTAGATTAAAATGCAATCGAATCTTTATGAGATGCAATAGACTTTAGTAAGTGCCATTTATCACCATTTCTAGAAATTCCCGCCTTTTTAATTTCCCGGATGTGTATCTAATTAATATGGTATACACACGCCTGGCCAACTCCCACTTGCTCCAAACAACGTTGTCTACTTTATTACACCTGATTACAATTTACATACATWTTTTTTTTCTTTTAAAACCAAACAAAGTTATGAAAGTGAAATCTCCCCTTTTCTCGAAAATAGCAAGAAAAAAGAAGACAGACACATATTGTTGTGGAAAAAGGGCGGGGAAATTAAGGCGGACGCGCGCGTGCCTGCAGCTGACCTTGGGTGATGTCAAAATAAATTCTATTAACATGATTATGTGAAAATTGTGTTTGGAAATATTATTATGCATATTGTAAATTATAACAATTTAATATTTGAGACTGCAAGGGATCGAAAGAGTCGCGTCGTGATCCCCACGAAGGCAATACAATAAACAAGATGCAATGCAGCAGCAACGAAAAAATGAGCCCCTGAGTCTGATGGTCTTTTAATAGTGGGTTGAATTCCTAGGATGCACACGAACATCTCGGATGATTATTTCTATAAAACGAAGTAAGATTCCCGATACAATAAAGAGTTGCGTCGATAAGTGACACAGTCAAGAGGATTTAACAAGAAAACTTACTCGTTTACGAGTTTAAAATCAGTAAGCGTGCAGTTGTTCATATCCTTGACCGGACCACTGACAAATTACTAGGGATTAGGTTGCCTGAATAAACCCGTTCATTGGATCGTAAAATCATGATGAAGCTCCTGCACAACAACCTTTGCAGCTTGGATATCACATTCGGTTGTAAAGTTGTGTGTTTGGAGCAAAAAAGTAGCAAAAATGTTTGGTACTATTTTTAGTTTTATCGCGCACACATGAAAGGAAAATGAAAGGCCAGGCCCAATTCATTTTGATCTTTAATCAAAAGTATAATTCATATTGTTTCGTAGTTTCGCAAAGAAGCTTTAAAAAGCCTTAAATGTGGGACTTTATTTAAGGGTTGATGGACTTGTTTGGAATTACCCTATAGTTTTATATTAGTTGGTCATCTTGATTGACCCAAAAAGTGGTCAAGATGAACTCAATATCTGCACTCTGCTGCAACCAACCAAGTGCACTGGAAAAAACAAACCAAAGCAACAAACCACTACAAACCCACTCAATCAAAACCCTATATGACAGCCCTTTCCAGACACAAATACTAGCAGTTATACAATAGAAGGCAGGGATATATTGACATTTATTGTCTAAAACCATCAGGTTGTTGTATTTAGAATTTACACAGAGTACAAGCATAACCTGCTAGTTTATGACAGAACCAATCAGGTGTATCCATAACAAATGGGCCGTCGGGCTTGTGAAAACCTCCATCAGATCACAGACGAGTAATGCTGTCGCTCTGACAGGACAAAAACAACGACAATCCACAAAAACACCAAGAAACTCACTTATAAGGTAAGAATTTTTGTCAAGAGGAAAAAGTGGGTCCTTATTGTACTGGTTTATTTTGCAATGAAATGTTTGAGGACGAATGGGAATGAATGAAATTTATCAATCGGGGTCAATGAAATTGGTAAGGCTTTTGGGAAGTCGGGCTGTGATTGGTCGTCAGGTGCGAAATCGAGTTGATCCTGTGAGGGTAGGTGACTCTCACCGGGTCTCCACAAGAGGTGATCTTTATTATTAAATAGCAATCCACTTATATCAATATTACCTAAGAGTCGTTTTGGGTCATGGCTTACTCATTGTTTGCTTTCACGGTCAATTGCATCACGGGCTGTGATTGGTCGAGCCAGACATAAACAGGCTAAGCTTACATTACGTCATATAAAATAAAATTTGATCCCTTGTAATGCCACGTCAAGCACATAAACGTGGTTGGCTCTTTTCACGGCGCCGACTCAGTACCAACCCAACGCCAATATTGAAACATTTGTGCTAGGATCCCTGGTCATACCGCCTTACTGAATTTAAAACAGTGACAACCAGGACCAAGGAGTTGTCACAGGTTGGTTGCTAATGTTCTACATAATAATTTTGCCATAACTTTAGTGGATATTATCAAGGAATTTGTTGGACAGCATCTCGGAAGCAAAAGTCACGGTAAATGCTTTCTAATTGTTGGAGTTTTGTCCATCGGGAAAAATATGGCGTAACGTTGGCTGGTGACACAATCATTGTTGTCGAGTTATGTCGTATTTTCACCAAGTAAATGAACGTCTAAGAAAGGATTCATCGTATGAACGAAGAGAGTTTCTTTGGACGTTTGTGTACTTGGAATTCCTTGGGTAATTCCTCAAAAATAGAAGTTAATTGTTCGACAAGGGTGTTTTGATTTAATTTTGAAGAGTGACGACATTTGCTATCTTAGGGCAACAAAAACGACAGAGATAGTTTTATATCAAAGTCTTCTGACTTACACAAGTCATTGTCCTTAACAATTCTTCTTTTATTTGTGATTCCTAAACCGTAAGTTCATAATTATAACCTTGTTTCACTACAATTCACGAGAAATATTTACTTCCTTATAAACGTTGCTCGAGTTTCTAATTCTTCAACTGTCTTAGCGTTTCTGACATTTGAATTTCGTGACCATAAGTTTTTAACAAAGAAATATTCTACAAACGTGAATTCAAAACGATATAGTTTAATTCCTAGCAGTTTTTTTAAATGTTTGTAATATTCTTTAGACAAAGAACTCTGGATTCCACTTCGTTCCTAACCATTCTTGCGTGAAGTACGAAACTATTCCAGATATCCTTGAGCAATGTCTATCATCTAACTTATTTTATATATTTTACAATACATTTAGTTATATTCTACTTAGATGATAGGATTTTTAGGATATTGTAGGAAATTTTGATTGGGATATTTTGCTGGTCAGGTGGTCATTCCTTAGGAATAATTAATAAGGTGAACCAAATTGTGCCAATGATGTATATATGCTGATATTTCTCATTCTGTTCTCTACTGATAGGGCATGGGGCAGTTAGGGGGCTACAAAAGCCTTCTAGCTTTTTGTATAGGATTTATAATCCTAGAATGTACGGTAAGTAGAAATATAAAAGTTTATTTTGTCCTTCTTTTGCTTGACTTTGTTATGTTTAATTAATAACTGCAAGTTCTGGTGATTTTGACATGAACAAGTGAGCGTATAGTTTATCTCGTACGCTTCATGGATTCTCTTTTTGGAAGCATTTCCATTGTTACTGGAAAAACCGGGATTGAAAAAACATTTAAATTTGAAATATATTCTAAATATTTCGTCCCTCACATGCGGCTTGAGTTTGGGATAATTCTCCTGCAGGATTTGACATCGAGTAGCCATTTTTTCAACGAAAGTAGTTTTTCGATCATTTTAAACCTTTTTAAAAAGAGCAAATAAATTCTACATGGTTTGCTTGAGTAGATTTTTTAGCGAAAGAAAATAGTAAGGTTTCATTTATGTCAAAAGCAACTTCAAACATTTTGACCAAAGAAAGCTGAAATGTTTTAGTTTATCAACCATCTTGTTTTCAATTTCCCATTATTCGAATTTTTGATTTTTTCCCGTATTTTCGGTTCCTTTTTCTCCAATTTTTCATTAAAATTTATTTAGAGTTTGGATTTAAAAGATTTCTTATAAAAAAAATTGGTTATCGTGGGAAAATTTAGAGGGTTTTTAGGGGCAAAACTATCGGTGCATAGTAACCCCCTGACGTCAACAATCCAACAGGTATTACCAGTACTACACACCAGTCTCATTCTTGTCGCCTTTGACAAGAAACACACCACAAGCTGAAAACAACGAATATTACCATTGATCTTTATTCCACCAGCAACAGAAATGCGAGATCTTTCGAAAATTTATGAACAAACTTTAAACTTTTATATCTATGTCAAATTCTGTCTTCTCGCATGAACTTGGTGTTTGCTGTTGCGTTCTGATGTTCACAGACCATGAAAAAGTCGAGATAGTGTCAAAAGCGAGCATCGCTTGTGACAAAAATTCTTAGAAATTTTTTTTAAAGTTTGTTTATTATTAACAAAAATATATTAATTCCTATCAAAAAGAGAGTTGGATCATAAAGAAATCATAACGAAAACGGGTTACGAAAATATTTTCCACTTGCCGTGGTCCAATAAAGTAATGAATCGTTATATTATAATTAAGTTATATTATATAACTACGGCAAAAAAAAAAAAAAAAAGAATTTGTATAAGATATAATATTAAGATATTATTATCTAATAATTAATCATGAAATTATAACCTGATGTTATGGGTGTGTGTATGAGAAATCAGTGTTTGATTGAATAAATGGAGAAATGGGAAAACTTAAATCAAGACAACAAATCTGATCTTTGATCACAAATCCTATTTATACGAAAATATCTTATAATGGAGGGCATGTGGCAAGTATTTTTGTTGAAAGAAAATGTATGTGGTAATCATTCAATGATGCGAATGGTATTTTTTGTGTCCACACTATGAAGATGATTTGAGCGAAATGCGAAATGGCCTATTCTGTTAGTTAAAAATTAAGTTTTTCGTTTTTCAGTGTTCACAAAGAATCTTACCGGATTGGCCTAAGATCGGCGACAGGATCACACAACCCTTCCTCGATCAATTAATGGTCAGCCAGCTTCTCGAGCAAAATCTAACCTTGGGGTTCTTCCTTAAAGGCCTTAATGGTCCTCCTGGTCCCCCAGGTGCTCCCGGACCTCCAGGAGAACCCGGTCCAGCAGGTATTGCCGGTCCACCTGGTCCTCCAGGACATGTAGGAGAAGATGGTGCCCCAGGTGCTCCCGGTGCTCCAGGACCTCCAGGTTCTCCTGGTGCTCCTGGTCTTCCTGGTGAAAAGGGAGATCCTGGTGAGATGGGTGCCCCTGGTGCTGCCGGTCTACCCGGTGCTCCTGGTCTACCCGGTCCTCCAGGTCCAATGGGTCCTCGTGGTCCAGAACCTATTATGCCGGTAAGCAGACTCACAATTTTAAGCCTTTGTTCCTTYAGATATCAAGAAAAAAAGAATGCCCAACTAACTCTGTGAATACTCTTCGTTTCCAGAACTTCACAGTTATCTGCGAAGGTGAAAAAGGATGGTTGCAGTGCAAACAATACGAGCTTATCAAGATTACGAAATCTTTCTGGGGTCGTGATGATCACGTGACATGTCCCAAAGTCCCGGCTGGCCTTGCAATCGACAGACTCTGCGAAACAAGTAGCGACAACACTWTACAAAAGATCAACGGCCAATGTAAGAACGAACAAGCTTGCGAAGTGGTTGCCTCCAATATCTTCTTCGACGACAATACGTGTGGCAACGTCTACAAGTATTTAAAGGTTTGGTACGAGTGTATTCCGGACGAAGCGAACGCAGTTGACGTATTGAAGGAAGGTGGAAAGCGACGACGAAGGAAGAGAAAGCGTGCGACAAAGGACAAACGATCCGCAAAGGAATAAGAATAAAGACTTTAGTTCAACTGATGAATTCTAGTCGATTTAAGACGCACTCTCAGTTTTTGGGTTTGCAATTTACAATTCCATCAGTAGCGCTTACTTGTTGAGCACCTTAAAGTGTACTGCATTCACGGACTGCGTGAAGCTGAATTTACACTTTGTCAATATGTATGTATATTGGAATTTTCACTTTAATTTGATACGAATGTATTGATCAATACTCTAAGTATTTAGTAAAAAACCCCAGGTCATAGGGGAAACCTGATTTAGCCGCGTTTTCTGATAGCGAGTGTGTGCGATAGGAATTATCACAAATCATGATTAGTTTTCTTAAACACTATAAAATACTAACGGGAGGAGCAGACGATAACATGTATAGACAATTCTTACCAATGTATTTTGGAGTGTCGGTGAGTTTGTGCTGAAATAAAAATAACGTTAATTAAGTTACATATACACTTGTCTCTTTGTTAGGAGGGAACGAGAATGTGAATGCGCGCTGGCTTCCGAGCCGGATCAGTGTAGCTCTAGGTGTAAGGGTAAATGGGTGCGTTGGTATATCAATACGTTTTTAAGTTTCACCTGTAATAACGCTTGTAATAAGACCGAGAAAAATAACTTTAGTAAACTTAAAACTTCATCTCGAAGTTCATTGTGTCCACTACTGATTTCATGGTATATTCAGTCGAACAAAAAAAGTTCTCCTATTTCTCTAACGATTGTTTCATAAGGTGGTGTTATGGGTAGTACCGCAGGGTGTATATGTATTGGTGGCCGAGACTCTTGCGCAACGTCCCCCAAGGATGCTTCAATTCAACTTCCAATTTCGATCCCAGAGTCCTCAGGCTTTTTGGTCAGCGGGCTCGCGCCGGTTAAGACTATTGGCACAAATCTGAAAAGGAAGAATGGGTCGAGTTAGGTGGCCATAAGGATTCTGGGATAATTTGAAATGGAATGAGATTTCTTACGCCACTCTCCTCTGTAGACCAGAAAGACTTGAATTTCCTAACAAATCACCGTCCACAAGGTCCTACTATCACTGACAAAATCAGCTATAGACCTCACACAAGCCATGATGATTGCAAAGTCAGTAAAGAAGGAAGTATGACTAAGTTCTCAGTAAGCGACGAAAATTTTCTGACATAAGTGTAGGATGTTCTTGTTATGCTCTTGTAAAGTTGGATGCATGATGTTGAACGTAATCGGGAAATTGTAATAAGGGACTGAAAGACAAAAATTTACAAGCATTTAAAATTTTGCTCTGTTTCCCATCCAAATCCTTCTGGTTTCAAAATGCTGTGACTATTTCCGGCATTCATGCCAGAACGTTAAGCATTTGCTCTATTACCAATGTTAGCGTTAGCATTCAAATAGTGGTAGGTTGTTATTACTTCACTCATAGAACAAAGTGAATACACGTATAAGAAACCCAAAGCATGGGAAAATAAAGAAAAAATAAGCAAGTATTAAGAACACATTTTAGTTTATTCCCATTTAATAGTAGTCCTGATTGTATTTTTCTTCATAAGTTATGCTCTTAGTTATCTAATATATATATATATAATTCCATTGATTCTGTTGCTCTGGAATACCCTAGTGTTATACAGAACCTCTAATAAGCGGCTACTCTTCAGGAATTTTCAAGTGGTCGATTAACAGAGGTTGGCCTCTTAATACAGCGTTTTCACTCACGTGAGAAGGCAGCCATAAACAATAGAAACTTTCTGCACAGTATTTGCATAAAAATAGAGTTCAATTCCCGAAGGATAGATAATGTATTGTTTTGGTACCCCATAATGGCCGCTGTGACGTCACGTGAAAACGCTTTATAGAGATATAAATTACTGCAAAACCCTCGTTAGGACTTTGACCACTGACCGCTGAATACAGGTTGGCCGCTTAATGGAGGTTCTAATGTAATTGGAGATACAGTTACTGTAGTAGATTAGAGTAATTGTACTTGGCCCGTGAAAGAAAAGTCACCGTCATAAATAGTGGTAGACACTAACTTCATTGTTTTCTTTCGTTTTGACTGTTAGTCACTAAATAATACAACTTTGTTTCAAGGGCCAAATAAAATCACTCTTGCACATTCTCTGTACTAAACATTTTTAGAGTTTAATTTTTAATTCATTGGGCGCAGCTCGGAGAAAGAGGACAGGAAAGAAAGGAAGAAAAGGGAGAGAATAAGGTGAAAGGGACAGAGAATGAGAGATCAAGGAATGAATGAAAAAGGAAGAATCTTAAAGGAGAGAGTGAAAAGGAGAGAAAGAATGAGAAAACACGACAAGTTTGAATGAGAGAAAGAGAATAAAAATGGGAAGGGGGGGAGATTTACGTTTCACAATTAGCTTCCTTTTTTAGTTAAAGACAATAAAATAAAATAAMATTTTTGATCCCTTATATTCCTTTCTTAATTTCCCATTCTTCGAGCTACACGACATTTTAATCTGATACTTAATTTGTGGACGACTTCCAGCCTGTTTTAGTTTTTTAACCTCATAATTTATGCTAGATTGCTCCGCAAGTTTATAACGGAGAATACAGTACATCTTTTCTCAGGACTGTTTACGAAAACGTGCAGCAAAAATAACACCTGTTTCCCAACAAGGAATAAGGTGATTTCCACTCTTGAATTTCAAAAGGAAAAATTTAGGACTCAACTTAAGACCGGTTTAGACGGTACGATTTTCGCCTACAACTATCGTATACAACACGCTCGCACCATCCTACAACTCGAATCGTATCGTGTAAATCAAGCCTACAACTCGCCTACGACAGACGCGAGCGTGTTGTATACGATAGTTGTAGGCGAAAATCGTACCGTCTAAAACTCTAATTCAATAGGGTTATCATAAAACTTTTGAACATATATCAACACCGCCCTGTCAAGTTGATGACGGTTTTTTAATGTTTAAGGTTTGGTACAATTTACTGGAAAATCTTCAAGGTTCTTTAACATGAGAAAAGGAAGCTTGCGTTACAGTACGAGTACATTATTCAAATGACAAACCATATAAATAATTAAATTTTTCTTAAATCCAGCTAATAAAGGGATGGTAAAGTAATTTAAATACCTTGTTTATAATGGTTAAGATATTATTCAGTGATACCTGTATGAAGCAGACATCCTTCATTAAACGGACAGCTAATTGACGGTCCTGATTTTCCCCCCCCATATTTATTTTAAGAGGCTTTGCACCATCACGTGATGGCAGCCATAACAGGAGTCATAACAATAGTCTTATTTCCCCACTCGGAAACTAAATTCTTTCTCATGTAAATTAGATTACACCACATTCAATTGTTCCTGCCTCCTGTCATGGCTGCCATCACGTGATGGTGCAAAGCCCCTATTCAACGGATACCAGGCAAGGTACCGGGTGTGTCCACTTAATACAGGCACCAAACTGTATTCCAAACAATCTAGCCTCGCCCTCTTTCTTAGTTCTTACAACACATTCCCTCTTATAACAATCTTTAGCAAGTTTCATATAAATTAATCACTTAACCCGATAACAACTACAAATAGTTAAGATTCACGATAACAATGACAATACAATAAGAACAAAACTATCGAGGATTTCAACCTGGTTCATGCCTGCATCTAACCTATATCTATTTACAGAATTCATTCACAGAGCATTTTCTAGCTTCAAAATGTAAAAGCCGCGATCAGATCAACGGGTTTCGTCTATCACGGTTTTTTAAAACTTTGCCTTCGTTCAATCTTGTGTCCATAATATTACATTTACCCAGAATYCCAAGCAGGAAGCCTATTAGACGAATACCACTTGCGAACATTGAGCTCATCAGCTGTTTGGTCACTTTTGTATCTTAATGACCCTTAAACCTCAAATGTATGGCTCCAAAAGTAATGCATTTTTACTGTTGGGCTAATACCTGACCAGGTTGTCGGCGATATGGTCATTTTTGCATCGTACTGACACTCAAGCTTCGCATGTACGACTTCAAAACCAAAACATTTTTACTGTGGGCTCAATTGTAATACCTGACCAGGTTGTGAGCGGTTAAAGACATGTTTGCATTGTACTGACCTTCAAGCCTCACATGTATGACTTCAAACCAAAATATTTTTACTGTGGGCTCAATTGTAATACTTGACCAGGTTGTCAGCGGTTAAAGACATATTTGCATCGTATTGACCGTCAAGCCTCATATGTATGACTTCAAAACCAAAATCATTTTGGACTGTAGGCTCAACTTAATAACAGGCAGATTTTACGGTTGTCGGCGGTCTGGCTATTTTTCACTATTATTAGCCTCGATTGTATAACTTCAAAACTGTGGGCTCAACTTTAATAACAGGCGTTTTGTTAAGTCAAGGTCTCAGACTTTATTTATTCTTTTAAATGTGTCGAATAGAAGGTCATTTGGAAGCCGTCGACTTCAAGATGAGAGGACAATGAGGTAGCATCATATCGTTCACAAAACACAGTAGAAGCAAAGAGGCTTGAACTACGCAGGGTATGAAATCACTTTCAATAAAATGAGACAAGTAAAGACCACAATGACGACCAACATAACAAAACAGGGTTATCAAACATGGCGCCTACTAAAGCCAGGGTTTAAGGGGAAAAGATTCAGAAAAGGGACATGCGAATTTTACGCTAAGCAGAGGCTAAAGCTAATGGTATACTGGGGCGGAAAAAGGAAAGAGGATGTAAATAATCTTCTCAGGTTCAAGGTAAGGTTGAAATCTCACTTGAAGCAGATGATTTCGAAAAAGGCACGAGATTGAATGATCGTGTTTTAAATGGTCTCTATATCTGTCGACTACAGTTCTTTCAGAGGTATCTCCGAACTGCGTACGATCCAGATAAATCACGCAAGCCCAATCTTTGTTCCCTTGATGCGGATTGGCTGACGCTTGTCGCACAAGTCTTGTGGCTCTCACATGCAGCTCAATGTTTGCATGACCCTTTATTCAGACACCGAATCAGCGCCTTCACTTTGCACATAACCTAATCACGTGCTAAAATATTTTTGTTCGCATTTCCTTAGGTCAAAGATCGAGCACATTTTCTTCTCCTTCATTGCCAGGAGGAGCGAATATATCCCTTGTATTCATGCGTTCATTCTCTCTATCTTTCTTAGCCATACTACTGACCACTCTTTATCTACTTTTCTTTTGTTTTTTGGTCCTGTTCTTACTTTGAAATAAATTTATTAACCTACTTTATACAAAATACAATACCTACTCAACGGACTTAATGGCGTGACACAATAGTCACGCAATCCTCGTCAATGTAGTCACGCATTACTCGTAGGTTCTTTAGAACCGCGATCATGGTTCTCTGATGCTTTGCTGTAAATAATTAAGACTAACGATATTTATCAAGCGTCTGATGAGTTTTCCTCGTTCCTACCTGGTTGGCCTACTACTTTTTTACTTCGAGTCATTCGATCGAGTTCAGCGGCTGCGTCACTACGCACGGAAGGTACCCCTCTCCCCTGGGGAGTACCTGCTGCAGCTGCTGTCTTCTTATTTAGTAAACTGTTAAAGAAGTTGGCGAGGACACCTTCACTTGTGGCAGCTCCTGCTCCTGCTGGAACCTTGATATTATCCACCTAGGAAGGTGACAGAGTTTCTAGTTATGACTGCCATGGAATTATGCTGGAGTTTTTTGCTTATAACGTTTGGAAGCAGTTGTGGTGGGATGTGAGCGTCTCTTACCTTGGCTCTTGCAGCAGCTGGGGTACTGATACCACCTAACCGTTAGAGGGAAAGGGTTGGAAGAGGTATGGGTGGTGATGGGAGGGGAAGTTTCTTACTTTAGCTCTTCCAGCAGCTGGGGTACTGACACCACCTAACCGTTAGAGGGAAAGGGTTGGAAGAGGTATGGATGATGGTGGGATGGGAGAGTCTCTTACCTTGGCTCTCCCAGCAGCTGGGGTACTGACACCACCTGACTGCCGTCTATCTGACATTCTTGTGCTTGGTGATCCTGGGGATCTCGGCTTGGTGATGTCCTGGATAATTCAATGAGAAGACACTTACACTCTAGAAGGCAGCTTCCTCAACCAATCAGTGAAACAGTATTGAAGTTTACAAAAAGAGGTTTTTGCAATCTTTCACAAGAGAACAAGTTTTCTGGTTCCTCTTGGTCCGATTCATAGAAGCTAATCTAACGGCAAAGTTTTTTCCTCTCTGATTGATAGAGGTTGCTCTAACAGCAATGTTTTCCGCCCCAGCCCCTTGTCCTATTCCTGTATATGCCCCTAAAAATCATTCAAAAATCCTGTACTCACAGGTTGTTGTCTTCCAATGCTAGATACTGAAGGTGGATTCTTTTGAAGCAGTTGCTGTGCAAGCAAATAACATGAATATGAGTAACTGCATTACAGTACCTAATTTAAGGCCCATTTTTTAAGAATTACTCAACCAACATATTCCAAGTTGTCAGTTTTTGGCTTCCATCAATCAAATAATACTAATTCAGGCCATTGGAAATTTGACAGATGAAAGATATAAACTGATGTCTCTGATTATAGGTAGGTTTCTGGGCATATAATGATGGGAATGGGTTAAAAGGATGGTACTTTTGATACCTGTTGCTTAGCTAGGAATGCTTGTTCCTCCTCTGCTGCAATCTCTTTTTCTTGCAAAGGCTGTAGGAAAAACATTAGAAAAAGGAAGTTAACACATTTTTGTTTTGTCAAGTGATGACACTCACACCTATATACTACTTTGGTTGTTTACCATTAGATTGGAAATTCCACCAGAATTTCCTCTTCACCCAGAATGAGCAAATGGTACGAAAATGTTTCCCTTTTCCCAGTCATTCCTGGGAGGTTTGTGTTCCATTTGCAATTTCAACTGGAAATTTTACTTTTGGGCTTCCTGTTCTAAACAATTTCAAGATTTGAGCTTCCTGTCTTAAAAAACATGCGTGGAAAGTGTAAATGGTACGTGATTCTCCGGTTATTCTGGGCTCACTGGAACAAATGGGGTACCTATTGAGCATTTCCACTTTTACCAGAAATTTTCCAATGGGAGAAGGTTGTACCATTTGCAGAAAAACCAGAATTTCCAATCTAATGGTAAACAACCTTTATCTGTGTACAGTACACTTATAATACATGGATTTGGTACCATTGTTATCTATGCATTCTTCTTTGTCTTGCCCCAAGGGATTTTTGAGTTCCTTTATTTTAGCTCCATGCATTGAAAATACTGGATTAGATTGCACATACACCAATTATGGTGACCAATTTGAATAACTATTGTTCGGCACTGATTAGCGATTGACTAGCCTTGTGTTCAAGAGGAAACATAAAAGTTCTTTCACATGTATGAGATCCTAGTCAGTTGCTAGTGAGTGCAGAATAATGGTTATTCAAATTGGTCACCAAATTCAGATTAGGTGTATAAGAGCCCTTATGATATTAAAGCATTCAGTTATAAAATCATCTTTATTACCTTCCTCTGTATGGGTTTGACAATGTGGTCATCAAAACCGTCGTCTGGTTGTATTACTTTCAAGTGTTCATTAATAATACTGATTTTCTTCATACTATCCCATCCTGATGGACTGTTATCGAAACAAAACATTAGATGTAAGTATCTTATCACATGAAATTTTTGCAACATGTAAATTTTGCATTAACTTCTAGGTTTTGACTTTCCTGCTATCAGAGTCTCCCTTCCAGTTAAAGTGCACCTCAAGTGCAATTTTTCCCTATTTGGAAGAAATCCTCAATATCTCAGTAATGCTTTTCTGTATTTTCCCCCCCCATTTTTGAGAAATTCTTAAGCTTTTACAGCATTTTAAGGTACGAAAAAACTAGTGTCCAGTCACTCGCAACATGTCAGCACCGTGTAATAAGGTAGACAAACAGAACAAAAGAACTAACAGCTAATGCACACACAGCAGAATGAAGTACCGACTATTTAAACAATACGTTTGTCTCATTGTTCTGTTGAATTACAATAGATTTCTGGTATTTATATAATCAACAAAAATAAATGTTTATAGTATGCACTATTGAACCACCTCAACCAACCAAGCCAACTCTCAGTGCCATTTATGCATTTGCATTTATGTACTTTGCAACTTACATGAATATTGAATCTTTATCCACAACTAAAGCAGAGCTGTTGAACGGCAGCCCATATATCCGATGCTGTATATATTTCCAGAATAAATTGCAATTTTTTTCTTCTTTAACTGAAGTGTAAAACAAAGCTGCACCATCTGGATACAATGAATCAAGGGGAAAAACCAAATGATTACTGCAATTAATTCTAATATACAACAGAATATAAAGATTCTGATTTCTCCTCAAGGGCTTGTCAAGATTTTTATTATTAATGCATCTCAGGGCCCGCTCCATTTTTACTGAAAAGGTTGCAAAAATATTGACTGTAATGCATAAAAGAATCATTAGTACTCTCACTTGACATTTGACAAAATATATGGTTCCAAGAACCCAGATTGAAATACTCTTGGACTACTGTAATTGGTGGTTTCAATTCCTGGACTTTTCATCACATGCTAGTAAACTTGGTTCTCTTCTTTAAACCACAGGGATGGCAGGGCACATTTCAAATTAGGAAGGGGGGGGGGGGGGGNGGGGGGGCTTTTCTAAAAGTGAACTCAAGCTAAGACAAAATAATAGGTCATTCTTGTAAAAAGCTATTCCTGATCCAAGGAGAACTCACTCACTTCTAAGTAGGGTTTTTTGGAGGTGGAGTGTGGAGAAGTGGTGGGGGATGGGGGGAGGGGTGTCCTAAGAATATATACAAGGTGTAATGAAGGATACATTTCAAACAGTATCTTCTGATATGCTGTTGTATAAAATCAAAATGTTCTTCTCTGTAGTCATTCTCTTTTTCAAGCATGGACATGCTGTCTGTCTGTAAAATAACATACAGTTTAGAGATTAGTAAAGGATAAAAACCTACAATAACTGGGTGTGAGTAAAGGACTGAAAGCTTTATGGTTTTGCTACCTCCAACCCTCCTGCTTTTCATTGCTAGGGAAGCTACATTCTCTAATGGAGGGGGGGGGGGGGGTTTGGGGATGGGGCTTGGGGATTTGCAGTAAACTTTTTTAAACAATGGTTGTAACCCTCCTATTACTCAGTAAGAAATTCATGGCCCTACTATTACAGCTATTTTCATAAACATGCGACTTCGGTGCTCTTGAGCTGCACGTTGAAATTTGGTTTTTAGCTGCCGCCAGTCAAAGATATGAAAGTTACCGACTGATTAGGTTTGATGGACGGCAGCGGAAAACCAAATTTCACCGTGCAACTCAAGGGCACCGAGGTCGCATGTTTATGAAAATAGCTGTAAGTCACTTAGGAAACAGCTTTCGTCAAAACAAAAAGGTTTGATTGCATCCACTGCATAACATCACTTTTAAGGTATTAGGATACGTTTACGACCACTATGCGCGCAAACTTAAATTACGCGCTTGCTTTGTAGTATAACACATACAAAGTATACATTTTCTGAAAGCTGGATAAACATAGTTTATGAAGAAATCTTCAAAATACGATTTTTTAAATTGTTGTTCACGTTATTGTCCTCGAAGCGAAATTTGACCATGCCTCAGTAAAAACGTTAACGGACACGTACATTATAAACTATGTTTGCGAAAAATGTCTTAACATACTCAGGAGATAATAAGCTCAAAAAGGGTGTCCCAGATTTTTTATATCTGTTTCATATCTCTCGCTATTTTTGATCAAAGTTCGGCGATTGCTTTTGGAGTGTTGTTTAAAGTAAAAAGCGTCATAACTTTGGAAAGAAATTACATTTCAAAAATCGGAGACACCCATTTTTGGGTCATGAGTTTCTTTTTAAACTCTCCAAATTTGAAAAAAAACGAATGAAATCCAAGGGCCTTTTAGCTTTTTGAAGTTGAAGTTTTAGCGGCAAATAAAGTTCGAGAAAATTGCATTTCCTTGTTTGGAGCCGGAAGCTGCAGGGAGTCACGATGGTGTTGGCCAAAACACCTTGAGCCTTCCATTTTGTCATCACTTGTCATATTATCTGGTGTTCTGGACGATCGCAATGTAGGATCTTTTTACAAGGACAAAGGAGCATTTGGAGTCAACATTATTGCAAGCGATGGGACATTTCCGGTCTTGATAAAGTCACGATTTCGATATGTCTCAATTTTTTGGTTTTTCCAATCAAAAATTGCAAGAAGTTTCACTAACATATGAAAGACAAAAGTTTAAAGTTACGAAATTTCAGAAAAATTTTTTTCCGATGAAATCGTCATTTTTCGTATCCTAATACCTTAACATGACAAACCTTCTGACCCTCCCCCCCATGAAAATTCCTCCCACCCTTCCCCTCTTTTGGAGTAAGTAACTTTTACGGTAGGAAGCTAACATGCAGGAAATAAAAATTTTGGGTTGTGCATGGGGGAGACAGGTTGAGACCAATAGTCCTTTTAGCTTGTGCATCGTTTTCCTCCATTTCAGACAACATGTATGTCATTCCCTAGAGTATCATTTCTTTGCTTAACAGTTAAATAAGACACACAAATATAGATACAACTCAAACGAAAAATTGTATTATGATGAGAATGACAGATGGTCTGAAATGGGAAAACAGTACATTGTACTGTAGACCCAATGAGCTACCTTGGAAATCCATTTTCTTACCTTTGTTAGAACCACAACCATTGGAAGCCCTAAATTATCCACTAAGACATTCTCTTCTAATGGTAGAAGTACTTTTTCTTCATCTTTTATTCCTGTTCCTGATCTTCTCTTGTTCTCTTCTGTTACTTCTTCTGGGTCAACATACTCTTGAAACTGCTGTACAACTGGTGAAGTAAAAATTATCAGGAAACATTACYGGTAATCATTTTTTAAGCAAAATATATGGTATTTATTCCACTGTTTTGAAGGTACAGACTGCCATTTTTGATAGTACATTGTTGGTATATACTAAAACAGTTCTTTTCATCAATCTAGCAGGGCTTAAAATAACAGCCAGACATTGGACGATGTATGTCTAGAATTGGAACTTGTTCGGTCAAATCTTTGCTTTGCCGCTCATTTTGACTAGTAACGTTTAGCCAGAAACGAGGTATGAGTGAGCTAAGACTAATTTGGCTGGCCATCATGACTGGCGACTGATCAGCTGTTATTTTAAGCCCTGATATACAGTAGGAAGCCTCAGAAACAAAATTAAATAAAAAAATTATAATTTATTCCTTCTTCTTTCTTTCTTTGTTTTTCATTTTCATGTTTATATGCCATTGTTTTTGTAATTAGGTGTATAATGAAAAAACAAAACAAAACCAAAACAACAACAACAACAACAACAAAAAAAACAACAACAAAAAAAAAAAACAGAACAAAAAGAACAAAAAAACCCCCAGACTATTATGTAATAACACTCATTTAATTCCTAGTTAATGACATCGTTAAAATATAGAACACCAGCTTAGACATATTGACCTTTGAAGTCTGATATCACAATACACACCTTGAAACCATTCATTTATAGGTATTTAGGTGCAGCTATGAACTATTTAATTAAGCTACTATTGGTTAAAGAAAACTTTAACCTCTGACAGTCTAGCACTAATTGTTATAAATAAAAATATATTAATATTTAAAAATAAATGAATTCCACATGTCTCTGGTTCTGCAGCTCAAAAAATCTGACTCATAAAATAAAGTTATATATATATATATCATAAGATTTGCTATTGAAGCTTATGGTAATCAAATTTGATGCACACGAAATTTGAAAACCCTGTCTGAGATAAAGAGAATTAGTTTATTGATGATTACTATGATGAAGATAAAATTMATGATAATCATTTAGCTCGATTAGCTTTTCCTAAAAGGTTGGTGCCCTCTTTCTCTCTTCACTAGCTAAAGCCATAATGCAAAATTAAGAAGTGCTAAATAAAGATGTCGTTGTTAATGTATTTATAATCATAAGGATAACATTGATTGACTTAGTATTAATTTATAAGAGTCACTCGGTACTTGCAAAAAGTGGTTACTTAACCTTGATCTGGAAATAGTTGTACGAACCAGAATGGATTATCTGGTAAAGTGCTATCCAGCAAATATCAATAAATACATGTATATCCAGTGGACAACTCTTATTCAAGCTTTGGGCAACCCAATCATGGCATCCTATCAGTTTATCAGTTGCATAAGAATTTATTTAGTGAAGAGTACAAGTTTATATTCAGGCTTTGTACAACCCACTCAAGAATTAATACATTGACACTATAGTAGTTCAAAAAGCATAAAATCATCCAACAACAGATTCAATTTCATATGAAAAAAGATCTAATGAACCTCACATGGTTTTACTAAAGTTCTGAAACTAGATAAATTCAGGGAACTCTTAAAAATTTCTTTTACTTCAAGTGTAAAGGCTGGTTTCGACAATACAACACGCTTGCGTCTGTCGTAGGCGAGTCGTAGGCTTTATTTACACGCTACGACTCTAGTTGTAGGATGCCACGAGCGTGTTGTATATGATAGTTGTAGGAAAAAATTGTACCGTCTAAACCAGCCTTAAAAGAGGCCCCAATACTTGGAACTGATTAATTTACTTTAGGTGTCTGATATTGTGATGAATATATTTGGTCTAAATCAAACAAGYCATAATAGTTCAGGAAGGCAATGGAAAGTTGACCAGCCATTGAGAGGTTCTGCTCTGAGAGCCATATAAGGTAAACAGCTGAGAAAACAGACCACCCTTGTGAGATAAAACACAGAAAGCAGTGTGGATAATACTGAGGCATAAGATATCATCCCAGTATGAAATAAGTATTAAAAAGTAAACAGAAAGTACGATCTCAATAGGAAACAAATGGATTGATTCTGACAAAAAGGCTTCACTTGGAGTCTAAAACTAGATTTATTCAAGTAGAATCTTAGTAGGAAATCAAGAATAAATCAATGGATTAAATCTATACAAATAGACAATAATTGGAGTCTAAGGAAAGAATAGGTTTTATTCAAGTGTAACCTTTGTAAGATAGAAAGCAGTGTGAATATAATAGTAGTGAATATAGTTTATATAGTAAGTGAAGTATGACCTATCATCCCAGTATGAATATTTAATCTAAAAAAAGTTAACAGACAGTGGGAACTCAAGAAGAAATCAATGGATTAAATCTGTACAAATAGACAATAATTGGTTTTATTAGAATAGGTTTTATTCAAATGTAAACTTTGTAAGATTGAAAGCAGTGTGAATATATATAGTAGTGAAGTAAACAGTCATTAACAGACATTAGGAACTCAAGAAGAAATCAGTGGATTGAATCTGTACAAATAGACAATAACAACAATAGGTTTCATTCAAGTGTAACCACTTGTTATAAACAAAGTGGAGATTGTTCGTAGGTTTAGCAATCAAACGTTAAATTGATTATCAGTTTCTTAAAACAAAAACAAAAAACTGCTGAATTGAGTAAAAAATATGCATTTACTATTTCCCACTTAATATTCTGATAAAGAGACTTTAGTAGCCTAGATATGTTGAGCAATATCAAAACTATTATTTTTGAAGAGTACAATATTGTACAACATTCTAGATTGATTAACTGATGCATATATTGTACAAGAATACTATATTATAAAATTTGCAGGGGCTTCGCAGGGCTTAAAAAAAATAAAGAAAAAAGAAAAAAAAATTTGCATGCAGGGGCTTCAATATTGAAAAACACTGCATTACCTTATTACTAAAAGTGCTCAGTGAAACATTGGGTAGAAAACTAAAATACATGCAAATAAAATAAACTGAATGTAAAGAGATATTAAAAATTAGAGCAGTTGAATATATTTTATTATATAGATATCAAAGAAATACCAGTTTTTCTCTAGTGTCAAAAACTTGATATCTTTCACCAGTGGAAGATACCATATCTTTCACACATGAAGATATCGCTGTTGACATAGTAATGTATTTTAATAAAGAATTTTTGAGCTTTTGTTTTATTTAAGTTTCATCAATATCTATATAATAAACAGAACGTTACATGGCCGCTTGGAGATACGAATTTTATCTCGTTTGCTGCGCTCACTCATGAGATATAATTGAACACTCCAAGATAAAATTCGTATCTCCGCGCGCCCATGTAATATCCTCTATGTATGTGCTTAATAAGACAAATGAATGATATTTTTAAGTATTTCAATTTCTAGTATTTCAAATTATTAGAAGGAATAAGAAAACGAAAGATACCAAAGTGTTGTTTCAAATGTCAAGAGGTTGTTCCATGTTTTCTGAACCTTAAAGGATCCACATTGGATAGATAATTCTGGAACATTCTGTGGGTTATATTTGTTGGTGAACACAATAAAAACTAAAATCAACAAACATCCAGTCTATTCATCAATAATAAAACTACAATTTAGATTATATCCTATAAATATTAATAAGTTATACAATGGTTAAGGCTGGTTACGATGCTACTGTAATATTATATAAAAATATATATATCAAGTTTTGAAATTTTGAGTGCTTTATTCTTAAACATTTTATGATTTACTGCTAATATCATCCAGAGAACTTAAAAAGACATGATGTAACGTCAAGAGTTTAGTTAATTATCATAATAATTCCAATATTATGCATAAAGACTTTTTTTTAAATCCTCAAAAGTCATAAATCTCTCTTAAGCACAAATATGTTAGTGACATTCATATCCACCTGCGACTGTAACAGCTGTCCAATGTTTGGTAAAGGGATATTAAATATGGTAATTATGGGGTAATCTAAAATATAATTTTCTTCTAGTCTGGATGCACATGGCAACATATCCACTCCAAAAATATTTGACCAAATTATTTTTTCTGCAAAAATAGAATACTTAATAAATCATGAAGTCTGATTGCATCAAATGTTCTTACTTAGTGTATAAATGAAGGAAACTGTAATACCAATACTAATGGATAAGATACTATGAAATATAAACCATTAAATTCATATAATAAAGTACTGAGCTGGCTTGGTCATTATTCATGCAGACATTTGTGTGTGGACTGTGCTACATTTAGACTATAATAACAATAATTCTTCAACAACAGACCCTAAAATTGCTTAATTTCTTTTTTTTTTTCAAGAATTACTATGCAATATATTATTTTGCTATCATTATGAAAGGGTGCAACTATTTTTGCATAAAATTCAAAGAAATTTAGAGGAGCAAGGGAAACCATAATATGATCAGATTTGAGGGAATGAATGAGAATCACACACCCAGTAAAATAATAAACAAAAGCAATCAAATTTAAAATGAATCTTGTTTTTAGATAAATAAAGTAATAAGAATAGTTGTGGGGCCCTAAAAATTTCCAAAAATATAATTTTAAAATATATTTTAAGCTCTAACACAGAAAATTTTGGAAGTTTCTGAGCTAAAAGTACGAGATCATAAAATGATGTACAGTCAAATAAAATACAGAGGGTTTTTTATGAGTCAAAATACGTTAAGACCCCTAAGAATAGAAACTATAGAGTCATACATGTGAGATCTAATATCAAGATCAACAAATTATTTGTCTAAAGTTGGCCCAACTTGTCTTAAAATCTGATCACAAACAGGATTATTTGTGTTGAAATTTTGATTTACAGCTGTAATCATCAAAATTAGGGCATAACTACTTACTTCTTTCCTCCATTTCATTGAGCTGCTTTGGAGTAAGCTTCAAAGAATGTATGTGTTCTCTTAAAATCTCAGTCCAAGAGTGTAAAGAGTCCATTATTGACCAAGGTTTCGAACAATCTACAACCAGAGCTACAAGAGTATCGTTGACATTTTTTGGAGTCAGTGCATACTTAAGTAGCGTTTTATTCCGAGGATCTCCATCCAGAATCCACACATTTAGCCTCGTATAATCTAAGAAAAGAAAAAATATCTATTAATTGATTAACACAGTTGTTAACGACTGAGCTATGCAGAAAAATCACTATGAATTTTCAAGCATATATTGATCAAGGAACCTCCCAAAATTTACCGTCTAACTCTTCGTCATGTACATCAAGATACGTGTACTCCAAGCCATGTCCTCGGCTTATTTCGTCCTCTTTTCCTCTTATTTTTGAAATAAGTGTTGACTTTCCTGACTCATCGTTCCCTGTAAAAGAAGACCTCAAAGTTAAAAGCGTATTTTCTGAAGATTTTTTCAGTCTATGAAGCTATATTTGACTACACACCTAACAGCAAGATGGACTTGTGTGCTCGAAGCTTTCGACTCGCCGAGCTTTGAACATCACGCAAAATCGATGACCTGAAAAAACAACGACTCGAATGAGTTCAATTCATATATAAAAGTGTCTTAGTTTTTAAAAGAAAAAGCCGGTATTACCAAAGATCTAGATCTCCATTTTCTTGCTGATCATCGACGTCCGCCATTTTGGTGATACTTTCAGGGCTCCCGGATGTAGATTGGTTAATAATCTCTAATGATAATGATATTAGGGTCCATTCCTTTCGCCTTTTTCTTCTTTTTTTTTGCCTTGTAGTTATTGAGGTTTTCGCTTAAAAAAAGATAAAATGGAAAGATTTTTGCAACTGGTAAACTAAGAATAATATTATTTTAATCTCCATGTATGAGTAATCCAGTGTCCTGGCCATGGCATTGATGTAAAGGGTTCCGTTGCTCAAATTTTGACTGACTGAAAATCATCTCATTATCTTTTAACTCAGGTATTTCAGTATCCGGTAGTAAATTTTGTTATGATTTTGTTGTAAGAATTGTCATTCTTAGTGGAATATAAGTTATGATAAAGTTGAAATTCCACTAAAGCAATAACTGAAACCAGTGTCGCACACTCCAGCTCATTTTAAAATTTGTTCGTTTAAATTTCGTAATGCGTAAATCGAAGGTATTCTTGGAGTTTAAGGCCCCGTTCGCACTATGCCGGATAAATTTGAATCCGAATTTTTATTTATTCGGTTAGGCCTACCGTCCACACTAGTCCGGGCGAATCCGGAACAATTCTTCACCGAAAACGAATTTTCGAATGGAACCGAATAAATAAAAATTCGGATTCAAATTTATCTGTCATAGTGTGGACGAGGCCTAAGTCAAAATCAAGCGATCCACGTTTTGGTAAAGTATATTTCGGATTCAATACGACTTTACGCATATTTAAACAACGCGTTTTATTGTTCCGTTAATTCAGCTTTACGCTTGTCCTGAAAAGTTAGCGCAAAGTTCAGCTTTTCTTTAATTTAAGTAAAACTGACGTAAGTCCGTTTTAAGTCGTTATAAACGTAAGCATTACATGACCATTAAACGCATGTAAATCTCTTTTTTGTGTGGTGTTGATTGTTGTTTGTTATTTCAATGCAGTTTGCCAAGAGAATTGTACAACTAAACAGTGGATTACCGCCGAGTGTACAACCTTTATTACAAGCCACCTCACATGTAGGTAACAGGGTTTATAGAAGGATGTCACACGTAGCAACCTTTCCTGTAACATTGCGCACCACATCACAGGTAGGTAACAGGGTTTGTAGAGGGATATCACACATAACAATCTTTCGTGTAACATTGCGCATCACATCAGAGGTAGGTAACAGGGTTTGTAGAGGGATGTCACATGTAGAAACCTTTCCGTAACATTGCGCACCACGTCACAAGTAAATCACAGAGTTTTTTGTTTGTTTTTATTTTGAGATAAAAAATTACATGGAATAATTTTTTTAAATTCATATTAATCAATCTCCATAGACGTTACTGCTAAACAAAGATACTCAAGGGAATGACACGTGAAATGAAATGGGTGTGGATTGGGATAATGTCAATGCGTTACCAGCATGCAAGGACAAGCAGTTTTTTCTTGGCTAATCACGTGTCAGGAGGTCGAAATTAATAAACTGGAACATACAGTGCGAAAAGCCGGCATCAGGTGGTATTTGCGATCAGTTAAAATTGGATTAGAATTCAGTTTTGAAGAAACTCTTCTTCAGTCCGACGAAACATCGCAAAAGCTCGAAGCTCCGTCCAAAGTATTCCAAATTCATTTTTTTCAAAAACATATAAAATATTATTAGTCCACTGCGGTGAAACAAAACCGGTATTTGCTATTCGGCCAACACCTTTGAATCTGAAACACAAGAAGAAAACAAATCAAATTGATATTTTGCAGTAAAAGAGGTTCTAGAATATAAAAGTACTGCTTTGAAATATATTCAGCTTTTATGCAGTCAAACCTGTTAATAAGGTAACCAGAGATCGTGTCGATATATTATCAGGGTGTCCGTAGAGGGAGGGTTCATTTAACTAACAAAAATTTTAAACGTTTCGTCCCTTATTCCCTACACCCTTTCCATGCTTGGCCAATAAATTGACCAAAGGAAACACCAAACAGTGACCAAGGGAAACAGAGGGAGTGCTCGCAGTCTAGCAAAAACCAAGAGTCCGTAATAGCAAGGAGTCAAAAAGCGTTGTAAAAATGCCTCACTTTCTAACGTAGTATTTCAGATGGGTTGGAATTTCACCAAAATATCCAGTAGGGAGATGGAAAGGGTGCTTTTTGTTGTTACTTGGGACGCTGCTTCCATTGTCTTCTTCGCCTTCTTCAAGTGGATAAGTGAGGTCGACATCGAATGTAATCTCACCAGATGGGACATTAGGATCGCCCTGAAACGAAATAATATGAAATTATTTACCGAGTCAGGAATTGTTATTATTGGATAACATTATTGCTGGCCACTCCTATAGCTCTTTCTTGTCATCAGTCTCACTACTACTGCTTCTACATTTATCTCTACCGCTAGCGCATCCTGGCATCGTAGTTACCATCATAGTCACTACTACTATACCTCCTTCCATCCTTCTTGTCATTCTGGCATCGTTATAAGCAGCAGCACCACCACCACCACCACCACCACCACCACCACCAGCACCACCACCAGCAGCAGCAGCAGCAGCAGCAGCAGCAGCAGCAGCAGCAGCAGCACCAGCTTCACCAGCCCCACCACCACCACCAATAACAATAACATTATCAGAAGCAGCAGCAATACCATATCTCCAACATGATCATCATCAAATTGACATTCCAAGCCAGTATAATATTCGTGCCTGAATATGTTCCACCCAGTACGGTGATGGTGATGAGGTTTTACAAACTCACAAGGAATCTGTTCAAACTCAGTGTATACTCACCGTAATCTTAGTACCAAGAATTCTGTCTTTACAATCACAAACCATTATAAGTTCTATCCCATGGCTACTGTAAGTACCCTAGAAATATTATTATTAAACTCATTAATAATTCATGAGGAAAACACAACAGAAATCACGACCGTGAAGAGTTCTGTAAATCAGATACAGAATCCTGTTCATTTGCATAAACTTTAAGATGGATTTTCTTGGCTAGATTCACTTTTATCTTGAAAATTTTAGCGAAACACAAAGGAACTAACCTAGACGTTTGATAAGTAATCCACAGTATTCGTGTCCATGTTGTATCCAATATACAAACTCTCGGGTACGCCTCAAGTTTGTATGCTGGATACAACACGGCCATTCATACTGTATATATTACTTAAGCGATTAATTTTCCAGTGCAAAACTTAAAACTCAAAATTAAATACTTTGGCCGCCGTTTTACTCAAATGTTCCATGGTTGCATTTAGTTGATTTTTTTAGCTTAACCACCACTTTTGATTGAAGGTGCTTTTTGAGTTTACACCGAAACACACAAAAAGAGTATTGAGTGTATGGATAGAAGGTGCCACTATTAATAATACGTCATAATCATACCTTGTATATTCCAGGAAGTACAATTGAATCATTATGACCAACAGTTGAAGGTATACTCAATCTATTAAATCTGAGGTTTGAACTACAAAAATATGCAAATAAGAAAACAAAAGCATTAATTTGACATGGGAAGATCCTTATTAAATGAACAGGTACAATGCGGTACTGTAAGTCAAACTTATAGGGAAAAAGTATTGTGTAAAACAAATATTATAACAGCCATTCTCAATAGCATACGTTGACATTTGCTGTATTAAGGAAGAAGGTTTTGGTGGGCATCAAACAAAAATGTTTCAATGACATTGACTGAAAACACAAGGTCAGTTTTAAGGGTATGGGCCCATGGAATGTCATGGTAAGCCTTGATTGATGTCCACCAAAACCTACTTTGTCACAATGAGACTGACAAGGATATGATTTGCTTACCTATAAATGTTATGCATAGCTGCATAACGGCTCAAGATTAAATGAATAAGATGAGGACTTGTCGAGAATATGTTCCCATCATTGTACTCTTCTACAAGCCACTGCTGCAAGTATCCTATATTCTGCAAAGATAAAACAGAAAGGGAAGTGAAGGAAAAGGAAAGAAAAAAGGAAAATGAGAGTGAAACAAAGGAAGGATCAGGAAAAGGAGGGGAGAAAGAGTGGAAAAACTAATTATGGAATGTAATTTATTTCACGCAGCAAGTAATTGATTGGGTTTCCTAAGCCAGAAATAATGACTAAAGTACTCAACATCAGATCAAACTTAGGAATTTCAGCGTTGACTTTTATGGAGGGAGGAAAACTCAAAAACCAAGAGAAAAACCCTTGAAGCACAGAAGAGAACCAACAAACAACTCTACTCACATACGTCACTGAACCCAGGGAATCAAACCCAGGTTGCATTGTTGAGAGGTCACACATTTGCAGCACAACTGCCTGTGCCTGCCAATTACATCAGATAAGAGGCCAACAATTTGAAAGAGCAATAATACTGGGAGCAAATAATAAGTGTGACAACCATATAATGTATGGAATATTGACAAGAAAAGCATACTTGGGATTGTACAGGTTTAATATTATGCCAGTCAGCTTTGCTACAAAGGAATGTAAATCCTTCTGCTTGACACCTTTTTGTACTGTTAACCTATAGTTTGAAAGAAAGAGTTTGTGAAAATGTCAAATTTACTATACAAATTAATTATCCATTGACTGATTTAGTCATGACAATAGAGGTCAGAGGTTTGTCTTTTTATTTTCACTAGAAGCAAATCATGGCGAGCTGGTGGGAAAGCGAAATTATCTTGCCTTAGATTGAGTTTAGTTATGAAGAAAGACAGAGATAAGCCCCTGCACTTTTACAGTGCGACGTGCCTAACCATGGCCACCCAACTTATTTTTTTACAAGTTACCCAGTCAGACAGCAAGAATTTGTGAATTTGCATGTGAACTCACTCATGCCAGTGGAATGCAAACATTTGAAATTATTTCATACTCTTTGCAACAAAAACTAGGAATTTGCCCATATGATACCTATTTTGCTGGCTAACATTGGATACTTTCATAAAAAGTCTTTCAATTATTGATGAAAATGGATTGAATGGCATAGGCAAAAAAATAAGTTGGGTGGGCATGCATGGTTAGGTCCTTCGCACTGTAAAATTGCACCACCATCCCTGATTAATGTAAATAACATTTAGACAGAAATCGTCATACAGAGTATTAGTCAGAGAAGAAGTTACCTTAACGATACCATCATGATGTGTGTGCAGGCCAGTCACACATGTAGTCTTAACGGTTTTATTTTCTATGGATATTTCAAACAATGGCTTAAGACGCAGTGGATCTGCCAGGTGGGAACAATCAAATGGAGGACAGCAATTCTCTGCTATAATTTTTCCATTTTGTACCTTTGAATTTAAAAGGCAATGACTCAGAATTCAACAAATAATATAAAAGAGAGGTTTGCAATTTTCATTGGAACAGAAATATATCTGCACTTCTAGTTTCATAAGAATATGAAGAAAACAGAAAGGGATTTAGCAAGAATGCTACCCCAACCCACCCACCCACAAATTGTGGGACCTTTAATATGCTATTATACCCTCATCCAAGATCAGAAGATATGGTTTCATTTTGTGTCTATATACAACTAAGAAATACCACTATTTTTGATGACTTCAGGTTCAGTCCATCTGGGTTAAAAATGTCTGCTCAATGGCTAATTTGAAAATGCACATTTGAAAGCCGGGGGGGGGGGGTACTCCCTTTGTTCAGGTGGTAGGGGTGGTCTGCGCTCCTTTTAGGGTTGAAAACGTTCCCTGTGTGGACCTTTTAGGGGTTCCGGCTCAAAAGTCAATTACGTAATGTATTTACAATGTTACTTTACAATGATGCACTAAATATTTCTTTAATATGATCATCGTTATAATCTTATCATATGCTGTCCTGTCATTCGTCAAACCAGCGTTGATAGCCTGTGTTAATAGTAAATTACTGAAATAAAGCTGTACCTTTTAGGGTTTAAAATCAAGTTGGTTTTAAGAGCCTTTTTAATTTATGCGTACCTTTTAGGGGCCATTTTAAAAATCGACCACTGATCAACCCTACCACCTGAACAAAGGGAGTACCCCCCCTGGGTTTGAAAGGTTTTTATTAATAAATACTTACATGGACATATATTAATGCTCCATAATAAAGCACTTCTAATTTCCAAAGTCCTAGAATGCAGCCATATCTATGTAATACTGAAATATAAACAAATATTAAAATCATATCTGATACAAATGAAGGTGAGGCTCAGGGCTTGAAATAATGGTCAGTCATAACTAGTGGTCAGAAATAGTGGCTAAAATTGGCAGGCATCAGTGTCCTCCTGACTGGTCTCATGTTCATTAGTCTGATATATGACCAGTCATCATCCATCGAGGGTATTTTTAGCACTGCAGCTATATCTCATGAGGATTATGTCACCTTTTACCTGCAGTGTCTCTATGAGCATATACAGTGTAGTAGGTAGTCAGGTGTCACTCTTAGGTGTCTGCATGTGTGTGGCAGGGGTGGTTAGGGTCTAGGAGGGAGGACTTAAAGCTCCCTGACACACATTTTGGTAACTTGTTAACAATTTCCATCTTACTGCAATGCAAGTCAGGTACCATTTACCCTCTCCACAACTTACCAATAGCATACAATTCTTTGTATGATGTCAATGGCCAACCATCTAGACTTGAAACCTTGTAATCTACACAAAATATACATCCAATATTAGAGATTACATATAGAGAGTATATCTCTTGCTATATGTTATAATGAACATTTTGTGGGAACAAATTTTCCCTCCTCACTCCTCAAAGACCATTCCTCTGTGCTTTCAATGACAAATATAAAGTGAACAGTTCCAAATTCATGTATGTGTATTCAGTGCTTGACCTAGTGACGAGATAATTAGTAACCCAAAAAGCCCACTAGCATATGGACTACACAGGAAAAAAAAACGGATTCCCAAATTGGGAATCAGTGCCACGTTCCCAATTTCGTTCTCTCTGGCAATTGGATGGGAATTTGTTGGGAATTCAAAGAAATTCCCAACAAATTCCCAATTTGGGAATCCAGTTTTTTTCCTTGTGCTAGTGAGTCCTAATTTTCATTAGCCCTTACAAAAGATTTACTGTTCCAAGAATAGTGGACTAGCGTAAGTGTTGAGTGCACTCTACATCCATACTGAGTGAAACTTAAGCCTTTAGAAGTTCTGTTTCTGTCTTACTTTTTTTGTTTAATACGACTTCTTGCCATTTAGCTATAGTCAGAATTTAGTGTAATCACTTACAGCACTTATGGATATCAGGTTGTGGATAGGAGGGGATTTTGGAGAGACCGAGCTAGAGAGCACCTACGTGATAAACTTGTATTTCAGAGCCATCACTTAATTTCCATAAGAGAATCTAGATCTTCCGTGAGGTTCACTCTACATATGTGCACATGCACTATCATTAAATTTCCCTATTTATCAATGGGAGGGAAACTGGAAAGCATTGAGAAAGTCCTTATATATGGCAAGGAAGAGAAAAACACAACAAACAAACTCAAATCACACATATACAATTCAGTTAAGAATCTATGCACAACCCCAGGCATGAAATACACAGAGGGGACAATGTACTATAAGCATAGATAAATATAGTCTAAAAGAAGATGGTCACTGAAGATGCAACCCCCCCCCCCCCCCCCCTTCCCCCCACCACAAAGCAAACTCATAGTCACTGCAATCACTTTTTGCCTCACAGTGCAGGCTAGCTACTAAATGTATCCCGTAATCCTTCCCCAATGAAATATGCTACATCTTTTTTTCATAATACCAATCTGAACTTCCTTCGAATTCCGACCAGAGCATTAGTCTTTCTTTCCTTTCAATATTAAACTACAGGGAGTTAAATAGTCCATCGTAAAAAGCACATAAACCTCCTCCCTCGTTTCAACAAATGGTTCGATATTCTAATGCTAAAGGAATCAATAAAAAAGCTACCAAAAATATTAAGCTAAATAAAGATTAAGCTTACTCTTTTGACATAGATCATGCCAGATCTGGTCAATGGCCACCACGTCCCGAAATCTCCTACATGTTTTCGCTAACGATGCGAGATCTGAGGCAGGTAAAAATTCAAATATTTTGACTAAAAGTTCGCTTGGAGCGCAAAGAAGCTTCTCCATTTCTTCATAATCGTGTAGGATGCCTAAAAATCCTACGATCGACTTCTACATTGAAGCTTATTTTTCCCCCTGCTACTTCCATTAAAACATTAGGGCAATCCGTCATGGAGGATCATCATATGGTCTTGAGTTTAGTATATGGTGTATGTGCTAATGATGACGTCACTAGTGTTATCATTTGTACCTCTCGCTTTCAATTACAGTACTACCAATATCTTATATCTTCGCATTCTTCCCTATTTTGAACCATCAAATACCATCAGTTTAATATGTTACTATTGAGCAGCATACTTGATAAAAGTTAACAGCTCTTTTCACCTATTTCTGTACTTTGTCAACCGTTTCTTGCCACCCCTATCATTTTGTATCTTTCACTATCACTAGCGCAAGTTGGCCGTTAGGAACCGAGCGGAAATTGGGGTTGTAAACTCTAGCGCAAGTTGGGGTTAGAAAACCTAGCACAAGATTAGGTTAGAAACCCTAGCACAAGTTGGGGTAAGAAATCCTAGCACAAGTTTAGGTTGGAAACCCTAGCGCAAGTTGGGGTTAGAAACTCTAGCAAAAACCGCAGCCAAGTTGCATGAATCGTTGCTAGGGTTTTAACTCAAACCTGTTTAATATTCATGCAATATTTATCCTTATTAGTTATGCATTTTTAATCATATTCTATATGCATATTTTCATGAYCTTTTCCATCAAAGTATCCCGTGTTCACACGGGACCTTCACATGTTGTGATAAACTTATAATAATATTTTAGAAATGATTCTGAAGCACATGTATATTCTTCTAATAACCTTCTAATACTTATATATAACTTGTTTTGTTATTGATATTTTTAGGAACACAAGGCCTATGTTATGCAGCCTGAGATAGTAGGTTGTCCCATCCTAAGGCTACGTTCATAATGTATGACAGGGGGAGGGGTAGGTGAAAATTTGAAATGTCCAGAATAATTCTCAACACCCCCCTTAAAGTCATGCAAAAAAATACGATCCCCCCTAGGCAAGGCTTGTAGCTTCTTCCAAAAATTGTGCATTCCCCCCCCCCCCCATTTTTCTGATAAAAATTTGCCCATGCCCCCTTTTTTCCTACCAAGATTTTCCCGATCCCCCCTCAATTTCATCTGCCCCGCCCCTCCTCTGCCATACATTATGAACGTATTATTATGAGCTCGCGTTCTTTGTTGCATTTTGCGCTACTTCGTTCACAAATGAACATGAAAGACAGGCAGAAAGGTTGTGCCTTTGCAAGCCGTTGTTAGCTCTCAGTAGATAGCCTTCCTTGTCAGTACTAACAACAAGATCCCTCTAACTGACACTACTTAATCCACCAACCAACAGGAACTATCATTAGCAAGCCAACACTGTCAATATTAGCAAAGTCAACAAAAGAAGGGAAATTTTGCTCATTATTTGGAATTCAAATTCACTTTTGTTGCCAAGACGCTTGGCTTAAGACCTTACATCTGTTATGATATATTTTGAACGGCCATGTCAGAACTGATCCAGTAAAACCAAGTCAAGGAGAAGAACATTATTTGTTTTTTTGGATTTAATATTCAACAACGGGAAAAAAATGTCAAGAAAATCAAGCGAGACGCGACCGCGAAAAAATACATTGAAATGCGCCGACGAAAGCGAAGAAGGTATTGATAGTTTTCCAATAAAAACGGATCGTTCTACTCTTTTGGGAAAATATAACAGTCAAATGTTAAAATGTAAGTATTGCAGTATGATAATGATTAATTTCCCAAGGAATATAACGTCTTTGCAGATAACGGTTTCTAAATCCAGACAAATGTTGTTGGTTTTTTTTTTTTTTTTGGAGTAAAAAAGTTACAGCTCTCCTATAATTTTTGCACAGTTAGTAGTATCGATTCAAATGATGAAATGATTATATCAACGCTAAGCTCTCTTATTTCTATTGTTCATTCATTCTATTTGTCGGCAATGGACTACCTTAAAACTGAGAGTGCATCAGTTGAAGTCATTCGTACTTTTCAGCCTAAGTTCCAGACATTAAAAAATATTCTGCTCAAAAATAGTTTAGCAATTGGAATAAAAGAAGTTTGCACAGTGCCATAAAAAATAAAAATAAAAATAAAATAAAATGAAATAAAAAATAAATTCAAAGAAAATTCAAAGAAAATATAGAATGACAAAATTATCTCACCCTACCCGTACTGGGAAACCCTTTTGAAGCTCTGACGTCACTCGCCTCTAAGCGACGTGATTCAGAAAAACAAATGTGAGCGGCCATTTTGAACGGTTCGTAAAGAAGGGTAGAGGAATTTTCTCTTTTAAAGACTTTAAAATGTCTCAACAAGGAGCTGCACTACAGACCTATAATAATGAACTTGTAAAATGTAAGCTTGTTTTGGTTTTGGGTTGTTTTATGGCAAAGGTAGCAGAAAATCTGAAGTATTTTGAATAGTGAATATCTGAAGTTTTATAAAACGAATAGTTTTAGGTTTTTACTTTAAGAATAAGTCTTCCTATAGGTACTTTTTTAAAGCTTAATTGTTTATGTAGATGTGAGACCGTGATAAAGATACCAAAGTGGCTTCAAATTCTTTTTAATGCGGATTTAATTTGTGATTGCATAGAGAGACACAGGTGGCCAAAGAACATGAAATTCTAGGTGCAAAAATGTGATCATCGCAAATAATAAATGCTTTTTTTGGCTTAAGATAATTAAATATTTGATCACCTATTTTTATTTGGCATCTATATTTTATGCTATGTAGGATTAAAAACTTTGAAAAATTTTTACCAATTACAATGTAACATTTAGAATGGCAGTATTCAGTTGATCATAAATTAATATGTTGTACAATAATAATGTAATGTAATGATGTAATGTTATATGCAGGAAATTAAATGAAACATATACTACCAAAATCACTTAAATGTTATCACTGCCAAAATAACAAGCAATCATATTTTGAGTCATGCGAGTTAACTGAAGTTCAAAACGTTTTCAATCCTTATTTTGGCAGTGCTAATAGTGATTTTGGTAGTATTTATGACTAAAGCACTTATGGCCTTGTTCCATGTTGCTGTTTCAGGCCCGCCGTTAGGGGTGGTTCGAAGGTTTGAACATGGACCCCCACCCTCCATCTATTTAGGAGTATGAAATAATGTTTATCTCTATTCTAGTTTTCAAGAAATGGCATATCTAAGATTGGTAGAAAAACGAAGCTGCGAGAGACAGCACCATAGCAATGCACCATATAGCAAGTCTTCATATTTTAGCCAAAAACAAAACTTATTGGTAATCAAAACTATCCATTTCAGGTATAGAAGACTTGTGCACCAAAAGAGATGAGCTACAGAAGCAGATATTGTCTGAGGAAGAGGAGAAAACAAAGATACAAAATGATATCAGAATACTGACTGAGAGATTAGCCAAGATTAATGAGAGTTTGGCTCGTAAAATTGCTTCTCGTAATGAATATGATAAAACAATAGCAGAAACAGAGGCTGCTTACATGAAGGTAAGGAATAATTGTTTTAGGTTAATTTAGGTAAGATTAGTAAAACTCCTACTGCATAAAGCATTGGGATTCCACTAACCCTCCTTCAGCTCCAGGGACATAAGTTACTGATACATGTACTGTACCTCTCAGTGCCATGATATTACTTATGAATGTATTATGCATCATCTTAGTGGATCACAGTTTTTAACATTTATGCATATCCAGCCAATAATGTATCCTTCCATTGGTTTACCGATTATTTTGTTGATTGCCTGATTCATCTATCCACCCACCCATACATGTAGATATGCCCATCCACCTATCCATTCATCCATTCATCCATCTATCCATCCATTCATTTGTTCTCCCAAAAACCTCTCCAGCAAAGAAAGCTTTTCAGTATCATATTATCTTGTTGAATACAAAATGTGAAGCAATTGTTTTGTTTTTACCTCAGATTCTAGAAAGCTCCCAAACCTTATTACATGTACTGAAAAATGAAACAGCCAAGGATAAATCAGCTCTAGGCCGAAGTCAAACCACACTAAGAGAGAAGTCAAGAGAGCAGACCTCATGAATGACAAAACTTATCACAGTATTACATGTACTGCTAATCTTTAATTAATAATCAAGGCATATAGATTTTTTCTTTGTAAAATATATCCTCTAGACGACATGCAGACTTCAACTTTGATAAAAATACTCTATAGTGTAAATAAAGTGTGCAATTTGTAATTCAAAGCATTTTAATGTTATTGCAACCTTGGTCTCCCCCACAGCCCTTCTTATTGCTTTTTATGGGAAGGGACCATTGCGTGATGACACTAAAAACGGCTGTAGGGGATACAGTCACAACCTTTTCTACCTTTTTTAACCTCCTTCAAACAAAAAGTTACTGTCGCAAGCTTGACGAAGACTGCAATTTTTTACAACAAAAACATTGCCATGCAACAAAAGATATTCCAACTAATGAAACTTTAAGAAAGTAATTAAATGTTTTACTTAAAAAATCAAAAATTATGCAATGCTTTCATAAATAGTAATATGTACAAGAAACATACAATATGTACACATTTTTTTGCCTTCTGATGAATGATTAATTAAATACAGTTACAAAAAACAGGAGGTTCAGTATGAATGATCATTTTTGATTACCTTAAAAGGAGGTAGTCATTAAAAAAGCATTGAATCTAGCCTTTTCTCTCTGGCTCAATTGTAAGGAGAAATTAATTTTAGAATAGTTAATCTTGTCCGCTCTAGTTATTTTACTTGGCAAATGAAAAAAACAGTAAGAAAAACAGAAGAATACTGTAATATTTCAAAGCCGACAATGAGGACTGGACGCGATTTCAAGTCCGTGCAATTAGTTCCAGTCTGAGGCTCAGCGGAAGACTAACTAATTGCCCTATTTCACTATGACGTTACATCAAAACAATCAATTGTTTAAACGCAAAGGATCATGGTCGTCGGAGGGGGTCAAATCAACGCAAATTCACTGAAAATTGTTGTAAAACCCATATAAATCCACGAAGAGAAGTAGAATAGCCAGCAAATGCTCAGAATATTTTTTAGTACATATCAACACATATCTGAAAACCAGGTCATTTTAGATTAAACTGTTTCGCTAGGAACAAATTTTGTTGAATTTTCTATTGGATTTGGTGATTCTATCCCCCACATAAACAAGCAGTGACGTCATAGTGAAATAGGGCAATTACAAGGATTTGAAATCCTGTCCAGTCCGATTTGAAGGCTTTGAAATGACTTCTCATGCTCATTTATAATTCATGAGGCTATTTGTTTAGGATTGAAAGACTTAAGGGACAGATATATTCCTGAACTGAATTAATTTGGTTTCCTCATGAATTATTAATGAGTATGAGAAATAGTAGTAGACTCTAATTCCATTGTTTTCTTTTGTTTTAGTTTGACTGTTAGTCACTAAATAATACAAATTTCTTTCATGGGCCAAGTAAAATCACTTTAAGCCATCTTTTTCCTTTCATTTCTTCTCTGGGCTTTCCGTAGGGGAGAAACTGAGGGATGGAGAATGAGAAGAGATGCATACCATTGACACAGGGATCCGGGGAGAGATAAAGATACCCTTGCAGGAAAGCTAAATAATGCAAAAAAAGCACTGGCAAATTAATACAAAACAGCACCAATGAAACAATTAAAAACAAAAGAAATAGATGTGTATTGTGCTATGTCACGGATATTGGTTTGCGTTCTACTGATCTTTACCAAAATGATTTTTATTTCTTACATTTACACAAGTGTCATCTTGGTTTGTTCACAATTTTCCACTTCTCAGTTTTTGATTTTGTTTTAGAGCACTGGTACGGCTTGTTCTTGTTCCTCTCACTTTCTAAAAGTAATGGATGCTTGCTACCATGTGTTGTTGTGTTGTCAGAATAATTTGCACTTTCCATGAGCTTGAGTTTTGCTTCAATGGCTTGTATCTTGGTATCATGGCTGAAAAAAAAGAAAATTTATAATTTGAGATTGATAGTTTAGATATTTTCAGAAGCACATGCTGACATCAAAAATAATAGTCCAGAATGGTTAGGCTTAGCCTCACTTTCGAAATAGAAAACAAAAGCAGACATATTAGAATAATGAAACAAGCAACTCCTGAATAGCGCAGCGCACTGATTCTAAWAATAGCTTAAAGATTCGGACAAACATTGCATTCTGTTTAACCGCTATGAGGATTATACGAACCGATTTTATTATTTTTACTTAAAGTTACAATAATGATCCATGTAAACTAAGATCAACTGCGATCAGCTGTGAAAATTATCTGCTAAAAGTAAACTTGTAAGTTTGATTGTCCAAATTTTGCCTTTGTCTTTGTTTTTACAACGTCACGGTTGCTCTGCGCTATTTGAGGCTATAAGCCTTAACATTCTGAAAATCATTGTATTTTTTAGAGTAATAAAAATATACCATATTTACTCATTAAGTGACGTCCAGATTAAGTGCTGCCCTCAAATTAGCGCTGCACCTAAGATCGAAATTATTAATAAGCACTGCCCTTGCATAAGTGCCACTTTTATCCTTACATAAATTTGTTTCGTATTTCTTAAACATTTTTAAACGTTCATTCTATATTAAGTTATTGGTTACGCAGTGTATATGGTAAACACATGTTTTTAAAATATAGAGCCGCCCTTGAATTAACGCTGCATATGAAACCCAAAAAAACTTGATAACTGCCACAGCTCTCAAATGAGTAAATATGGTAACTAAGGATCTAATTAAAACTCTTATTCACATTCCGCCAACCACAGCAGAGCTTTGAAAACCATCAATGCTAACCTGATAGATGAGAGGGATGAACCAGCCTTTTCCTCAATTTGTTTGACCTCTATCTTTCCCTAAAATGAAACATTTTAGTTCAAAGTGAGCTAGTTTTAGTCTCATCTGCTCGACCCTCATAGTCTCCTTTGTCCACTCCTCTTAGGCTCCTTTGTAGAAAGTGTTAAGTTTATAGACCTTTTTGGATTAGGGCATAAGGTTTTTTCATTTCAGACCATGTGTCTTTCTTATGAAAATAGAATTCTTTGCTTTTGCTGTACATCCATATTCATTTGCTTTCTCATCCACAACCATAATACAAAAAAGTATTACTCTTGCAAATGACATGTTGTCTGAAATGAAAAAGCATTACATAAAAGCAAAAAGGTCTAAAGCTGCTTCAAATGAGCCGACTACCTCAAAAACTAAGAAAAATGGAATATTGGAAATTTTAGACTCTTATTACAATATAAAATTATGTAAGCCAATGAGAGACTGAGTGAATATATTCTTTGTTTTCTGCGGATACAATGGAAGTAGGCAAGTAACTACTAGGGAATTTATACAAAGTATCTATGGGTATGTGCGAGGGATTAAGAGAAATTCACCTGAAGTTGAGATGTCTTTTGATCATCATTTGCCCAACGAACAACAAGTGCTCTGGATAATGCCATTTTTCCATTCAAAGCCTTCATTGCTTTAGTTGCTTCCTGAGGAATAAGGATAATAAGTAGTGTAAGAATAACATATATTCTTCTTGTAAGTATGTTATCTCCACCATGTGAGTTTAGAAAGAGTGTGTGTGTGTGTGTGGGCGGGGGGGGGGGGGGGGGGGCAGCCTGTAAGGTTGTATTACTCTTCTCAGTAGACCGAGGCAGCTGGAATTTTTTAATGGCCTTGGTAGTGTCTATTATGTTATCCAGAAGTGCATTTCAAATCGGCCACGTGATGCCAATGTTGTACCACATGGACAAGTTTTTTACACCACGTGATTAAAACTTGACTGAATTTTGATCACGTGGTATAAAAAACTTTTCCACGTGGTACAACATTGGCATCACGTGGCTGATTTGAATTGTACTTCTGGATCACATAAAAGACGCTACGAACACAATAAAAAAAGAGTAGTACTTTGGACAGCATGTTATCCAGGGACCTTTTTACACTATAAGTGGCTTTACCTTTGAAAAATCTGGAAATATGAGACTGTGGAGTCCAAATTAGCAAATCTTTTTATAGTGCATGCCATATAACGGTGAAAAACTGTGTAAGAAATTTGAACAAATTTCGGAACAAATTAGTAAGTTCAGTAGACCTCAGTAGACCGTAGACCTACAAAACTTTGCACTAATTTGTACAATTTAGTAAATTTTTCACGAATATATGGTATGCACTCTAAAATAATTAACTTTCAATTTAAGCTTTAATACTATACCTGTTTGCTTTCATATTGAACAAAACAGTATCCTCTTGGTTCTCCTTTATGAGGTCCACTTGTGTGGAAGAGGTACTCGAATTGTTTGACTTGGCCGAACCGTTGTACAATCTTTAATAGGTTATATCTAAAAGCAATAATATAATAACTGAGCTTAAATATATCTTATTAAATTAATACCGAGAAAATAGATAAGAGAAATAGTTACTCGCTGAGTCTTTTGTCTATGTTTCCCATCCAAAGTCTGTGAGAAACTTCTTTTTCTTCTTCATCGTTGGATGGCAATTTAGAGCCACCTTCCTGAGAAGGATAAATTGAAATCAGGAGATTTGATCATAACGGAAATAAAGCAAAAGGATTGAAAATAGTGTAGAAATGTTACCTCGTCCGCCATTTTGGATTTGTAAACGAGGCTGCTGGTTCATTAGGTATATTGGGGGCCCTGTGTTACTTTTCAGGCGGTGCTTGTTTTAAGATTGGGAATAGGGAGATAAAAATAAAAAAATGAGAAAATAAAAAGGAAAGATCCATCTGTTTAGATCATTATTATTTGAAAATGGCTTAATTAATGGAAACATCATATAGTTTACAAAGGGCGAAAAATAATTGGTATTAAAGAAAAAATTCTTTCAAATAAAACAAATCCATAAATATGAAATTAAACTCCGGCATTAGCTTATCATATGCATTCAAAGTCTATAATATATGTATATAAAGTAAAAATGACTGCTTCTTAATAATTTAGACACCTGTTAAGTAAAGTATTGAAATTACCGGCGATAGATTTTTTCGTAAAGGATACTATTGAACGGTAAAATTCTTATCCTTCTGAAATATATCTTTTTCCTGAATTTATTAATAGTTGATAAAAAGAAGAAAGAAAAGGTGGTTGAAAATATCAATTAGATGTAGCTTTTAAATTAATTTGGTCTTTGTTTGCGGTAAGCACCCGTGATTGTTGTCATGCATAATTTAAAAGCTGTACCTCAGAGATAAACACTCTCAACGATAGAAAATGTTTTCTAGGCATCATTTTTATAATTTTTATATGCTTTGTTAGTTTTTAGTCTAGATTCATGGAAAAGAAATTCGCAGAATTGAATGAAAAGCAGCTCCAGACTTTAAGGAAGTTATTGCTTGAACATTTGAACAGAGGAAAATGGGATAACGACAATGAACCTGCAGATAAAGAGGTACCGTGCTTTCCTGTTTGTTGCTTTAGCTTACGTTATCATAATGGCCTGCGTTGAATGCCAACTGTGTGAGCTTCTCAAGTCAAAATAGACACTATTATTCTGAAAACCGTCATAGCATCGTTATTTATCGGGGAGGCAAAAATTCAAAAATATCTTCAAATTTTCTTTTCCTATTAATTTTTGCGGAATTTTATTTTGATCAAATCTATAACTCCATAATTATAAGAACGATGATGAAACCAAAAAGTTAAACTATTAGAATTTGTTTTTATTAACGTTTTAAAGTTATTCTGATATATATATTTGTTCTTTGTTGTTATTTTCTGTCTCATGTTTATCTCAGTTGTTTGTTTATATTTTTGTCGCATTGGGTTGAAATAAATATGTATGAGAGAGATATACTTCATTTGCACGTTAAAAAGACGTTTGCATGGTATCCGTACTCAAGAATATCATTTACCCCTGATGCTAGTACCATTTAGCTTAAAATTAACTCAGTTTTGCTTTTCAGTTTAGCGGTTGAAAAGTCTTTCTTTCTTGCTTTCATGCTTTCCTTCTACCCTTTCTGTTCGTTCTTTCTTTTTCTTTTCTTTTTCAGTTTCCTTTCCATTTCATTACTCTATACTTTTCATCCTTTCCCGTTAATTTGTTTCTTTTCTTCTTCCCTTCCTCTCTCCCTTTCTTTCTGTCCGTTCGTGATGAATATACGCTATCTAATTTTTTTCTTTTTTCTTTTTCTTTTTCTTATCCTTTTTCTTTCTTTCTTTATGCCCGGCTAGAAGATATAGAGACATTAATAAAGTTATTATTATTATTATTATTATTTGAGAGTTCAGAGTTGATTTATTTTCGTGCATTTTGAGGGTTCTGAGCTATTATATCCTTGGCTTTATGCGTTATTTCTCATCAAATCCCTTTTTACGAATTCTTTCTAGTTCAGTAGCATATCATTTCGAAATGCAAATCCCCTAATGTTCATACCCGTGACCCAAAAATGTATATCCATGACGAAATATTTATTATAGTCCAAAGATTCCAAAAGATTAATCAGTTTATATTCGCATGTTTATTATCGTCCGGGCAACACCAATTATAACTCCCTGATTGGCTCATATCTTTACAGAACATGACGTCACCCTTATACCGGGCTTTCATTCCCGATTCAAATTAGAACGCATGAAAGTCTTCTAAATCCAGAGCTGTTGAAGCGTCACAAATCGTTCCATATTTCCATTAATCACTCCAAAAAGCATCGCATATGAACATATTTGGGTTTTACAATCTATATTGTCCAACTTCGGAGTAATTTATCTTTGGATTTCTTGGCTGCGTGTTTTTAAATCGTGAAATACTTACGTCGTCATGTCCAACTTTGTAAGTTACTTTATCACTTGTAATTGACTTTGGTAGCTCTTTAATTATAAATGTCTGAGGAGTATATCCTTTATCACGGTCTTATTTAATTCTTAAAGCTTTTTTCTTCTTGTTTGAGTATGGTAGGAATTTGAAAACTCATCTTAAAATATATATTTGTTTTTTTCTCCAGGCTCAACCCTCAAATCGTCACAGTGCCACTCACTTCAAAACTCCAATGAAGTTCGATCCTTCATCTTCAGCTAAGCCTTCTCCTTCTAGAGATGAGATTTGGAAGCAAGAACTAGGATTCGATGGTAAAATAACGTCTTTTTTCGATCTATACGTTACTTCAAATATAATAATCTCTGTTTTGAATGCTTTTGATAACCAAACTGTCAAACTCCAGCTGTTTAGGAGACATTTCAACTACAAATCTATCTCATATATTATTAATTGAGTTTTGAAAAGTTGTTATGAAGTTTGACAGAAGTCTGACTAGTTATTTTCGTTATGACTGACATAACTGTGGGCTTTGGTTTTGATATTTTTATTATAAACAGACATGTTTTATATTTTACAGAGAGTTCTGAAGGTGATGACTCCAACACTGAGGATGAGCCAGAGGCCGACCAGATCAACTCGAATAAAGGTTTATTAAATGCTGCTTTCTCCAGTATATTACAGAATAATATTATTATATACAGTAGACTTGTTTAAGTTTCAAGTGAGATTCTCTTGTGATTCATTCATTCATTTCATTCATTCTATTCTATATCTATTTTTGGGGTGCAATCACATGACTTAAAATCTTTAGAGATATAAATAACAATAAAACAGCCACCATGTTTGTTGATTTAACAAGAGAAGCTGATGAGCATTGCATTGTTATCGTCAACCAACATGGCAGGATTATGATGTAGCATGGATCCCAAAAATTAGTGTCCTGTTTGGTTGCTAGACTGTCTAGTGTCTTTATTATATATGCTCTCAAAACATATTTTGGATAGTAGTATAGTATCCTCAAGGACTTAGGAATGTGATTTTTTATGCTTTGTGTGAGTGTGTGACACACCTTTCTTGCCTTTTACCTCTAAGGTCTCAGGTTGGATTCCTGAACTTTGCATTATGTGTGAGTAGAATCTGTCTGTCTACCACTCATCCAGGCTAGGGGGTTGGGCAAAGGGCTAACAATCCTGTCTTGTAGAACAATCATGTTATGTTAACAGCAAGAAGGGAGATTAAGACTACAAATTATCCTTTGTTGCTGCCCTACATGCCAGCAGGCATAATGGGCAGCAAGTATAAGTAACAGTCTGTTAGGCAACTCCCTTGATATGAGGTTCTTATCCCTCTTCTCCTGCAGTTTTCCTTCCCATACAAAACCTCTAGAGGAGGAAAAGCTGCAGTGTAAATTCATACTTGTGAAACCAGAGTACAGTAATTAATATAAGGTGAATTGATATCTAATATTTTTTGTCCACTTTTTCCAGCATCTTCTATAGAGGTACATGCTCTACAAACAGAGCTAAAACAAAAAGAAAAACAGAGGGAAGAACTCTTAATAAAGCTTAAGGTATGCCTGGTACAAAAAAGATTACATAAGCCTGGTTCTCACTTAGTGATTTCAAGCATATAAGCACAAGTCAACACAGGAAAAACAATAGCTTCTCTTTTCTTACTCTTACATTTGTGCTTGCTTCGCTTCATTTCATAGTGAGAACATGGATTTGCATCAGCTTGCATCGCTATTGAGAACCAGGCTTTAAAAATAAAGGTCACCTGTCATTGTTAATGGAGTGAGGAGATGGTTACTGATTTTTATGTAGGGGGGAAAAGGGGTGTAGCAGGGCTTAAAATAACAACTAGACATTGAACAATGTCCAGCCAGAACTGGGACAAGATTGTCTGGCCAAATCTTTGCCTTGCTGGTCATTTTGACCAGTAATGTTGAGCCAGAAATGAGGTATGACTATGCTAAAACTAACTTGGCCTGTGACTGGCAACTGAACTGCGGTTATTTTAAGCCATATGTAGCATAAATACTCTGCAAGACTAGTGCAGTTGAGTTCCATTCCTCGACTAGAACTCCAGATATCTTGAAATTGCCATTATTTTTTAAGAACTTGAACTATACCTGTGTCACTACTACTTTATCTCTTTGCATTATAGGCACTTTCAGAAAAGACCACAAACTATAAATCCAAGCTCCAAAAAGCAGAGCAAAGCAAGAAGTCCCAGATAAAGATAATGAAGAAGACACAGGAATCCCAAATCCAAATGAAAGCAGAGCTCATACACAATCTTGAAGAACTTATAGAGGAACAAGAAACCAAGATTTTAGAACTTGAATCTAGAATCAAAGGAGGTAATATTGGAAGCCCCCAAATTAGTGGAAAAGCTTCCAGTATTAAGAAGCTGGTGGACTCGATCAATGACTTGCACACTGAAAAAAGTCGCATTTATGAGACATGGCTCTCGACACAGTCTGAGCTGGAGACAGTGAGACAAGAACATAAAGAAGCTATGGAAAAAATGAAATGGGAATTGTCAGATATGGATAATATGAATAGAAAAATTCAGGTTGAGAATCTGAAATTACAGCAAGCTGGAAATGTAAGTAAGATTTTTTATATATGAGATATATAAATGAGTAGGGGTAATACTGCTGATATAGACTAATAACAATGTTGATAAGAATCGAGGGAATCACTGGTGTCTTGGGTTGGATTTTCAGACATGGCATCACATGAGAATAGAGTTTGTTAGGTCTCTCTCTCAATTTGATGGGTTTTCTTCAGGTTCTCTCATAGTAGCTTTGCTCCCTCCAATATAACCTATTATTCTAGACTCCAAATTCTTGTGTGAGTAAGCTGTGCCCAGACCTAGATCAGCTCAGAGGTTGTTTTAGGATTCAGTCTTTGAGTTARCTGTGCCCTGACTTAGATCAACCCAGAGGTTGTTGTAGGATTCTAACTGTGAGTTAGCTGTGCCCTGACTTAGATCAACCCAGAGGTTGTTGTAGGATTCTATCTGTGAG